TAAACATATTTCATCCAGTTTTTCTCAGTCTTACCCCCACCCCAATGCCAGCCTCATTCTACAACAGTGGCACCATATAGCATTTGTCCCTTTCCCATCTCTTTAAAGTTCATCTCCTGATGGTGGATAAGAGGATAGAACGGATTTCTCAAGAGAACCAGGGATACAAAGCAACTACTCTTCTGTAGGAGACACTGGGTCTGAAGTCAACTGAGCGCAGGTTTGAAATGCTACTCCGGCGCCTAGCCGCTTCTGAGGCTGGGGCCAAACTACTTGGAGAAAATTTGAAACACATGTATAACAGATCCGGGTCTGGTTGGCCGGGCTTGCCGGGCAGATATGAGGATCAGGAGGGGAAACCCTGGGTCTCTGTATCAGGACACCCTGTGCCCTCGGGCAGCCTTCAGGGAGCGCCTGTCGCCTTGATACAGAATTCAAAGTACAGGTCTTAGGGTCAAATGAGGTAGGAGAAGTTCATTCCTACCTGAGGCTTTACGGAAGGCTCGGGGACCCTGAGCCTTGCGGCTGAGAGTCACTTCCGTAGCTCCGTCAGCCATAGCAGCGCGTCGTCAGACTGCCGAGCGCCAACGTCTGCCGGAGGTATCGTCTCCCACCGCGTACGTGGGGCGGAGCGTGGCGGAGTGGGCGGAGTCGGCAGAGCGGCCTCCCAGCGGCGCTGGAGGAGGTGGGGCCCGAGCGGAGTCGAGGTTATGAGTGTATGTGAACGCGCTCAGGTTTCTTGCACTTTCGGGGCCCGTAGGTCGGTAGTGAGGTACGGAGAGCCCTGTCTTCACGCACAAGCCAGGCCCCTCCAGCTGGTGAAGAGCGAACGCCAAGACGCGCAGTAATGAGGAGAAATGGCTTCCCTTGAATGCCTGTCGCAAGCGGGCTGCTGTCTAATCCGCTCCCGAACGCGCCGCGGCGGACACGCACCCCTGCTGCCGGGGCTGAGCTTTCCAGCCCGAGAAATCTTGGTCTGTGGGACCCGAATGATGTTCTCCCGAGACCCTCTCGTTGCCTGGTTTCCATGTAATATAAGATTTAAAAACCTCAAACTCATTGTGATCGGAAGCTGACCCAGTTCGGTTTCTGAGGCTGTAAATCTCAAGGTAGAGATTGCCCTTCTTTGGAGTCACTGGTGAATTCGGACCCCCTGAGAGGGGGTCCTTTGGGTTAGCAGCCCAGCTCCCTGTAGTTCAAGCCACTGGATATTGTTTTGGCGACAGAAACTTAGCACTTAGGGTGGAGAATGTCTGATCTATCACCCGCTGTGGGCGAGTTATGTTGTACTGAAGTTTTTGTCTTGTTGTTGCTGCTATGTGCCATCGAGTCGCTTGCGACTCATAGCGACCCTATGTACAACAGCCTTAAACTCTGCTCTGTCCTGTGCCAATCGCACTGTATCTGACACTCCCATCCCAATTATCCCAGTCACTGAATCA